TAATATACTCACTGTCCTATTAAAAAGAAAAACCACTGTGACTCTAACACTTTAAGCTTCTATATTAGTTCTATAGGTCACACTTCAGGAGTGGAATTATTAATCACTTCTGAAGTGATTAATAGTTTGTGTACACAGGATGACCTCCTATCCTCTAGCTGTGTTTAGAAAATGGTTATTTCCCACTTTCTGCATTAGCATTTTTTAAAAACCTATTTTTTCTAATTTGACAAAAAATTTATTTTCATTTGTAATTTATTTGCACTGCTCTATTACTAAAGAATCCCAGCTTATTTATACTCTAGCCAAATACTTGTTTTGAGTTTTCTGAGACAAAACTTGGTCTCAAACTTGTGATCCTCCTGCCTTAGCCTCCAGAGTGCCGAGATTAAAAGTGTGTATTAACAGGCTTGTTTTAAATTAAAGTTCTTCTTCAATGCAGATGCTCATTACCTTTTAACCACTTGGGGTCACTGTTTCTTTATAACCAGAGGCTCTGCAATCAACACACAAATTCTGGGTGTGTGTGTGTGTGTGTGTGTTTCTGTATTTTGCAGTTTCAGAAATTCCATACAATACAAATTCTGGTGGGCAGGAGTGTGTGTGTGTGTGTGTGTGTGTGTGTGTGTGTTTCTGTATTTTACAGTTTTGGAAATTCCATACAATACAAAGTAAAATTTAAATGTATCTAAAAGTTACAGAGGGCTTTAAAAGAAAACAATAGATAACTTTTAACTACTATAAAGAAATGTAAGAAGGAAACCGGTAAAAAGTTTTCTCAGAGTTAAAATAGTATCGTTAACTTCAGGTAATGAACTTGGAAAAATAAGTATTCTAGTAAGATTATAAAGTTGTAATAAACTTTAGACTGTAAACTAAAGTAATGAAGTCCAGATAGGCCCTTATACTTGCCAGGGAAGCGCTTATTCCACTGAGCCATCTCACCGGCCCCATGAATATAATCTTAATTTATAATTACAGACTCAGTGGCCTGCCCATTAGCTTAGTTGTTTAAGTGCCCTGCTTAAGTAAGGCAGTCAGGCTCAGGAGTCTGTGGTTTGATACCCAGATCTTCATGCCTTACCAGACCTGCCCTTAAGGCATGCTGGGCAAGCAAAAAAAAATTTTTTTTAATCTTTATAATTAAAGACTCAAAGAACATAACAGAATACTACATAAAAATAGATTTATTACCTTTGTCCTAGACTGAACTTGCTCTTTACAGATGAGGCATTTCTTGACTCGTGGAGAACATAAAGAACAGGTTGCAATATGTCCACATGGGCCAAAAAGTGTATCTCTCTTCATATCTGAGCACACCATACATTCTTCTAAGGTTTCAGAATCATTGCTAATCATAGAAGGACTCCGAGAACCCACCTGACCACTAGAAGAGAAAATACTTCAAATCGTAATTTTCTTGTGAAATATTATAGACACAGAAGGTAAACAGTATCTCACATAAGATTATTTATGCTATAAATAATAAAATCACTGACACTATTTTCAGAACAAAAGACAGATGTGAATGATCGTCTTATTCGCTCATTTTTTTATCCTTTACTGATACTTCTGGAGAGCTGCCAGGCTCTCTGTGAGATGCTAAACTATCACAGATCATGTAAGATACATGCTGCTCACAGCATAGGAAGACTTTCCAATGTGTGCAACATTAACCACAGTACCTTTACCAGAGGAACTTTTCATATAGAGAAGCTCCTCCAGCACAGAGCCCCTACATGATGAGACCAGCTTAAAGTTTCAGGGACTCACTGTTCATAAAGAAACACACTTGTGGTGAGGGCTATACAACATGAAGTATGAGACTCACTGACTGGAGGGAAATTTTCAAGGAGGAAAAAGCCAAAGATACAGGAACTAAGCCAGGCATGGTACGTGCATGCCTCGCGTCTCACCACGCAGGAGGCTGGGGCAGTAAGAGCACAGTGGTTTCCAGGTCATCCTGGGCTACCCAGTGAGACTTGTCTTAAAAAACCCCAGAGCCAGGGGAGATAGCTCAGTAAAATAAGTACTTGCCTGGAAAGTGCAAGGGCCTGAGTTCAATCCCTGGTTCCGCAAAAAAAAACCCAGAAACTCCAAGGATAAAGATTTTCAGGTGGTGAGCTCCACCACTATACAATCATGTGATACTTTATGCACAGAATATTAAGTTTTATGATATTAAGTAATACAAACCTGACTTTTTCCTTGTGACACTTTGCCAACGCTTTGCAGAGACTTGGATCAGGACAGAGATCAAGTGGCGACTGACCCTTCTTATTGCGAATGCCAAGGTCAGCTCCATTGGCTGCCAAGAAACAGGCAATAGATGCTGCGCTCTTCTTCTCTGCCCCCTGGGTTCCCAATCCCATTATCAGCTGAAAGCAAATGAGAAGTTCTGATTGTTTCTGTGGAAATCTGCTAGCAATACACTCTCCCTATACATTCGATCATATGTTCATGTGTGTGGTGGGCATGACTTTCGGTCTTAATTCCCACTCCTCCTGCCCCTTCTCTCAATTTTCTCAGGCATGCAGTGTGAGAATGGAATCACACTCCACCTGCAGAGGTGGATAGAACTACAGTGGCTCTGCCTTGGCTCTGGTTACATACACAGAAATAGCATTCCTTTATTTTTTTATTTTTTATTTATTTATTTATTTATTTTTTGAGACAGGTCTTGATATGCAGCTCAGGCTGGCCTAGAATTCACCGAACTCCTCCTGCCTCAGCCTCTCCCAAGTGCTGGGATTACAGACGTGTGCCACCAACCCCTCCTCTTTTCTACTAATTTGGCTCTGCATCTGCCGGTGATTAACTTTAAAAAATGAAAGGAAAAATAACTGAGAAAAGAACCAATTCCTATAAACTGAGCCAAAAAATGGAAACACACAAATGAGGTTCTGAAGATATGTGACCTAGTAATTCAAATATCTTACCTGAAAATAGTCACAATAATTGTTAAGACTCATTGGATACCTATATTGGACTAGTCTACTTTAAATCCTTTCTATGATTTTTATAGCAGACTTATGTAGGCAGGAGCCCCTCCGCCATTTTAATATATGAAGGCATAAAGGAGTTAAGAAAATACACCCACCTATTATAAAACAGCATTATCATACCTTCTAGCCTCAGAACCATTTGACACTCTTTATTTTTAAATAATTTCACAATTTATATGGAAATACAGAAGAAAATTAGAGGACTTATAATACCTGAATTCAACATTTACTATAAAGCTGTGGTTATCAAAACTAATTGGACTGTGATCACATAGCTAAACACACAGAGCAAAGAAACAAACGACAAGATCCTAAGAAATCTTCACATATATGGTTAAGTGATAATGGATAAAGATAGTTAAGTAACTCAATAGGAAAAAGACAATCTTTCCAACAGAAACAGGGCGGAGAATCAGTTGGATATCCACAAATAAAATGAACACTGACCCACATAAATACATGAAAGTTAACTAAAAATGAACCACAAACCAAATATCATTTGCAGTACAAAACAAATATAAATCTTAGTGATCCTGGGTGTGGCAGATTTCTCAAGAAACAAAAAGCACAAACAATAAAATAAAAAATGGATTAAAATTAGATACCATCAAAATTAAGAACTTCTAGCTGGGCATGGTGGTGCATGCCTATAATCTTAGTATTTAGGAGGCTGAGGCAGGATGATCAGCATAAGTTTGAGGCTGATCTGGACTACATAACCGAGTTCAAGGCCAGCATGCACTACATAGTGAAACCTTGTCTCAAAAAAGTAAAAGAAAAAATTAAGAACTTCTGTTCTTCCAAAAACTGTTAAAAGATTGGCTTGGTAGCACATGCCTATAATCCCTGACTTTGGAGGCTGAGGCAGGAGGATTGAGAGTTCGAGGCAGCCTATGCGACACAGAGACTCCATCTCAGAAAACAAAACACTGCTAAGGAAGGAAAAGCTTCGACAAGCAAGCTTGCTCCCTGTCTCCTGCTGTGTGAAACCTCTATCTCCCAGGAATTTGGCAGCAAAAAGCTGATCCTCAAAAGTAATCCCACCTGGTACATCTAGATCCATTTGGATCCAGAAGCACCTTGAGGAAACTTGGATCAAACACAAAGTTATCTCAGAGCCTTCTCAGAAGAGTAAAGTACATGTGTATAGAGAAGGCATAGAAGATGAAGCACTCAGTCTGGACTGCCCCCTACATACAGGAAGATAGCTATGGATTCATCTTGACCAGCACTTAGCACTGCACCCCGCCACTCAGAGAGCAGGGACCCTCCGGAGCCTGATATCGCAGAGCATCCAATCACACACATCATTCTTGAAAAGCATTTTGGAACACTGTTGTCGAAGCTATCATTTCTACACTGAATAAATTAACATAGCATTTTATCAATTATTATGACAGAAAGAAAAGGAGGAAAAGAAAAGCAAAACATGACAATGCACAGACTGAGAAAACCTGTGCCTGCCACATATCTGATAAGGCAACTGTATTCAGGTGACATGAAGAACTCTCCAGTGGAAATGACAGCACATGCCTATAATATTCCAACCTTCTGAGAAGCAGAAGTACAAGGATCAAGTTCAAGCCCACCCTGCACAATGCAGAAGACTCTGTCTTAAAATTTAAACATCTTTTAAAGGGCTAAGGATGTAGCTCTGGGCTACGCCTCTGGGTTCAGTCAGCAGTGGATATACACACTTTCAATGATACCAAAACAAGGAAAGGACAAAAAAGAAAAAGAGGAACAACACAGACCAGTGTCCTCGAACACAGATGCAAAACCCCTTAAGAAAATACTTGCAAACTGTATCTAACAACATATTAAAAAGATCATACATCATTATGCAACTGGTTTCATACAGGGATGAAAGGAAAGTTCAACACATGTCAATCAATAAACACAAGATATTACCTATATAGAATGAAAATAAAAATCACACGCTCAACTCAATGGTGCAGAAAAAGGTGCCCCTTCATACTGAATACTCTGAATAAACCAGGTACTGATAGGTCTCTAAGGTAAAGGTCACATACCACAAACACAGAGCCAGCATCACTCTGAACAGGGAAAACTGAAAGCTTTTCCTCTAAAATGAGGGAAAAGGTTCTGGGGAGACAGCTCAGTAGAATAAAGTGCCTGCCTGGCAAGTACAAGGTCAAGTTCAATCCCCGGTACCACAAAAATAAATAAATAAAATAAAATAACGAACAAGGCTAGGATGCCCACTCTCACCACTCCTACTCAATACCGTTCTTAAAATCTTAGAACAATTAGGAAAGAAAAGAAAATGGATATAAACAGGAAAGGAAGAACTCAAACAATCCTTGGTTACAGATTACACGATCTCATACTTAAAAGACCTAAGATTCTTATCAGAAGACTTTTAGAGTGAATAACTGACTTCAGCACAGTAGCAGGACATAAAATGAACATTTAAAAAATGAACAGCTGTTCTATACACCAACAATAAACTATCTGAGAAAGAAATTAGGAAAATGATTCCATTCACAATACCTTCAAAAAATTAAATACTTAGGGATCAATTTAACCAAGGAAAGACCTCTACAATGAAAATTTCAGAACACGGAAGAAAGAAACTGAGGAACACACCAGAAGACAGATTTTCATGTTCATGGACCGGAAGAATAAATACTGCTAAACAGCCACATCAAAAAAGTGATCTACAGTCAACGCAATCCAGATCAAAAAATCAATGACAATCTTCACAAAAGTAGGGAGAAATGGGCTAGGGAGACAGCTTGGCAGTCGAAGTGCCTGCCTGGCAAGCGCAAGGACCCAGCTTCGGTCTCTGGTACCCCAGGCATAGCATGCTGGCCACCGAAACTGAGTGTGGTAGTGCACTCCTATAATCCCAACGCTGGGGAGGCTGAGACAGAAGGACCCCTATGAGTCCGAGCTGCATAGTGAGACCCTGCACAAATAAATATTTTTTAAAAATTAATAATAATAATAATTTTTCTCAAAGTAGGGGGGAAAATCCTAAAATTGATATGGAAACAAAAGACTCAGCAATAGTAAAAAAAAATCCTAAACCAGAAGACCAAGGCTGAAGGCATAATTGTGTGTTTCAAATTATTACACAGTCATAGTACCCAAACAGCACAACACTGGCACGAAATAGACATGTGACCAATGGAATAGAACAGAGGACACAGAAACAATCCCACAACCATACCCATCAGATTCTGGACAAAGAAGCCAAAATAATACACTGGTGAAAAAAAGGCCTTTGAAACACTGGCTATCCACCAGACTAAAAACTGGCTGTCCACCAGTCTAAAATGAGATCTCCTCTCTCTCACCATGCAAAGCAATCAATTCAAAATAAATCAAAGACCTAGGAATAAGGACTGAAACTTTGAAACTGCTAAAAGCAAGTAAGTACAAAATCCTTGAAGTCACAGGCATAGGCAAAGACTCCCTGAACAGGGCTCTAAAAGTGCAGGAAATAACAAATGGGACAACACAAAATTAAATTTTGTCACAGCAAGAGAAACAACAGAGCAAAGAGGCAGATTACAGAATGGAAGAAAATCTTTCCCAGCTACTATTCCCATAGAGGATTAACATTCAGGATATATAAAGTATGCAAAAAGCACCAAAAATTCAAATAGCCAATCAATAAATGGACCATTAAACTGGACACTTCTCAAAAGTAGTACAAATGGTACACAAGTATATGGAAAACAATGTCTGACATCTTCAGCCATTAGGAAAATGCAAATCAAAACTACACAGTAGCAACAGGTTTTTTTGGTATTTTGAGACAGGCTCTCACTAAGTAGTTCAGGCTGGCCTTCAACCTACTTTGTATCCCAGGCTGGCCTCAAACTCACAACAATCCTCCTGTCTCTGCTTCCCAAGTACTAGGGTTACAGGTGTGTACCACCACACCTGGACTGGAATGGCCATCTCAAGAAAACAAAAAATTTTGTTGAGTGTGGTGGCACTTGCCTGTAATCCCAGCACTCTAGAGGCTAAGGCAGGAGGAACAGTGAGGCCAACCTGGGTTACACAATGAGTTCAAGACTCAGCCTGACCTACACAGCAAGACATGGCCTCAAAAAATAAAAACAAATAATGCAAAACTTTCAAATGCCAGCAAGGTTGCAAGGCCAAGGGGACCCTTCTATACTACTGGCAGAAGGAAAATTAGTGTAGTCACTATAGAAATCAGCATGGAGGTTTCTCAAAAAAATGAAACTAAAAAAACAAAAAAAGCAAAAACTCTAAAAATAGAGCTACTATTTGATCTAGTTGTACCATTCCTTGGTATATACCTGAAGCAATTAAAGTCAGCATTCTACAGGGACACCTGCATACCCATGTTCACTGTAGCTCAATTACAACAG